TTGGCGCACACTTTGTTTACCGATTGTTACTGCCGTTTACTGTGAAGCAGCCTCTGCCGTGCGGTCATTAAGGGACCGTCACTAATTTCTCATGTTAGCTCTAATGTAAAGTGCCTAGTTAGGATTTATGTAAATAGTAAAATTAGCATTTGTTGACACTCCCTTATTTTGGTTGAATGTTCCAGTATCCAGTATTGTTTGTATTGTTGTATTACACATTTAATTCACTCTGTTCACATAATTATGGAAGACTTTTATGTTCTTTCCAACAGAAACCACACCATCACTCACCACACGGCATATAGCATTTTACAGCCTGTTAAATTCCCTCACTCACATTATGGATGTGTGCTTCGGATTCTTGCTAAATAAATGAGTGAACGACAGATACCTGAGTGGCAGTGGATTTTGTGGATACGCCATCTGTTCTTATCGGACAACCCTGTTGAGATTGTGGATTCATAGAGTCAGCACCTTATCATCTACATCAGTCATAGTCAGGAGGTCAAGTCCATCCCTCTTACAGTGACCTCCTCCATTACAGTTATCCTGAGAATAGAAACGAGAAAGAGCTACCAATCTGTCATCCTTTCCATGTCCAGGCCGGGTGAGGTTTCCTGTGTTGAGTCAAATGGGTTAGGGCCACATTACTATGTCAAATATACCATTCAACATTTTATGCTTTTACAGGTGTTTAAGAGGGAAAATGCTCCTACATTTTTTTAATGCAGAGCCTTATTCTGGTTGGTAGTATTTAAGTATTTACGTTAACCTCTTACTAGTTTTTTATCTTGTCCCTTTCGTCTCACTACTCTCTATCACCTTTTCTATCCCTTTGAAGAAATGAGGCTCCATAAATGTTAAAGAGGTAATTAATATTTTTCAGTTGCAGTGAATTATATTTTGATAATCCTGATCAGATCTCTAATCCCTAAACCTAACCAAGGAAAAATGGCAGCTTGGGTAAAAGACTGAAAGTTACGGCACACAATGATGTGTGCTGCTGGTAAAGTGTCTGGGCTGCCCGTCCTCAAAACAGCCATCCTTCAAGATTTCCTCCATTTAATGCAATGCATTATCAGGGATTGTAACGTCTAGTCCTTTTACTGAATGTTTTTCTTGAACTTTAATACTATAATTGAAGTATGTTGGCTAGAAAGTGGGACCAAGGAGGAATCATGTAAAATTCATACAATTTGTGTTTTCTTCAGAGACACTCATAGTACAGTCAGTGTTAGTCATTAATTTCTGACCCTAGCGCGTAGTGTATCACTCAGATCTTATAAGTGAAAGTGTAGCATCATCTCTGAGGAGACAAATATAAGAACTTTTATATTAATGTATCTCTGACAAACATAGAGTTTCACCCACTCCTTGATCCTCAACATAAACTCGAAGAAGGAATATGGTTAGTGGGTTGTCCTTTAAGTGCGCTTGTGATTTGATTTGATTATAATGAGATTATAACATTGGACGTAGCCTCCTGTTAAAATTGTTCTGTTGCCAGTAGGCCATCTTTGAGATCTCCAGGTGTAGATGACTCATAAATGTAGGTAAACGAAAATATCCACAGACAGTTTCACAGTATTATGTCCTCAGTATAACTCTGTATTCTATAATATTGTTTTCACTGTAGTTTACAGGCTTTAATGGGACATCTTTTTAAAATTATGACAAGAAGTTATCATGAGCTGTCAGACTGATATTTTATAACTTTCTTTGCATTTCTCTTTTTGTATTGACCAGATAATCATGAATGGGACATGGCTGAGTCGTAAATACATTCCTTCACTCCACCCAAGCTCAAGACAAACGGTCTACCTGCTGATGGCAGCTGATGTGGGCGACCGTGGCTCAGGGGGATGGGAAGCGCATCTGTAACCGGAACGTCGGGCTGTCTGTCCTGGTCGTTGTGTCCTTCGGCAAGACACTTTACCCTACCACCTACTGTTGGCCAGAGGGGCCGATGGCGCGAATGGCAGCCTGGCTTCTGTCAGTCTGCCCCAGGGCAGCTGTGGCTACAACTGTAGCTGCCTCCACCAGTGTGTGAGAGTGAGAGTGAATGAATAGTGGCATTGTAAAGCACTTTGGGTGCCTTGAAAAGTGCTATATAAATCCAATCCATTATCATTATTATAGTCCAATCACACGATTCACATTCGTATATATGCAGCTAATCAACGTGGTTGACAGGCTATGACAGCGTCCTTATGTGCCGACACCGGTGTTTTAGCTAGCAAAGCGGCTGATGTGGAGTGAAGTCAAGTTAATGACAACGTGTACAACCATTGGAGATGTGAGCAGGACAGACGGAACAACTGCCGGAAAAACTGTGGACTTTATACCAGTTTTTAAATTGTGTTGATCGGCCACGTAAAACCAGAGTTACGATAAAAATACGCAATGTGTCACAGTTGTTAAAGAGTGGACACAGAGCTCAGAAATAAAGACAGTGCGTTTATTTACAGTGCAGCAAGGTAACAACAACTCAAATGTGCAACAATGGTGATAGTGAGTCCTTCCTTCTGTGTAAGCCTGTGTGTGGTAGTGAAACCAAACATTGTGTTAGATCCTGACACAATAGCTGTGCCCCAAAACGGCGGCTGCATCCTCCGGAGGCCGCATGTGAAGGCCGATTACGTCACAGCCAGGCATCGAAGGTCGACTCCTTCAAATGCGGCCGATAAATGCGTCCTTCATTTCCACGAATTTGAAGGATGGGTCGGGTGTGTCCTGTCACTACCCGATCCGTACCGGAAACCCGATCGGTACCCCGCATGCGCGAAAGGTGTCTACTTCCGGTCGAAGCATTTTACGATAGTTACGGGTCAGAGTACCTGTTAAGATGTTAACAATAACAAGTAAAATGTTTCTGATAATGAAACATTTAATATAATGTAGACAAAAACAAAAAAATAAAAAGATAGTTAGGGATCAGGACTCACCGATCCTTACTGCGCATGTGCAAAGTCGGACCGTACAAATCGGGTCTACCCGATCCGTACGGCACAGATGTTTTATTCTTCTTCTGTTCGTTTAATGGCAGTTTACTCCCCGGTGTACGAGGATACCGCCACCTGCTGACTGAGCGAAGGAACCCTATTGTAAACTGAATTAACATCATTACAAATGTGTGTTGATTTTGATTTAATGATAGTCAAGTGTATTTATGCTTGTTTGTGTGGAGAGGATTGTTGGAACAGTGATGATGATGTCCGCTCTCACTGTCAATTGTCAGTAAACACTTCATCTGGCTGATGAATGTTCACGTTACATATTACAAAGTCTGTATTATTAACTCTGTCATTAGGCGCCATTCTTCTTATTTTACGGCGCTGTTCCTTGGGGGACGCTCTCTGTTGAGGAGAAAAGCGTGAATTTGTTTGTATACGGATTATCCATAGTTTAAATGTCCTGGTAGTCGAAAAGGAGGCAGAGCTGTTGAGAAATGCTAGGAGCTAACTGGGCGCTAACCGTATCATTCAAATATATTGAATGTCGCAATGTTGGCAAAGAGAGGAAGTGACGTAAGATTTGCGCATGCGGGGTACCGATTGGGTTTCCGGTACGGATCGGGTAGCGACGTGTCCTTTGTAGCCCAACATATCCCAGAATTCATAGCGCGGCCCAGCCAAATTTCAGCTGCCAACAATGGCGGGTGCTACTAAGTTTTAAAATTACTCTTATTAATCTTTCTGGGCCACAAAATAAACATATTTTAAGGCGAGAAAGGGTTCCTTGGGATTTTCACACATAATGAATAAACGATAAACAAAAAACTGATTAAAACAGAAGTGTGAGACGGTCGAGAATTTACGCCAGTGTCCTGTTTTATTTTAGATAGCAAGGAGCAGACGGCCGAGTTTATTAAACTCCGAGACAGCGGTGACGCTAATCAGAAGGCTAGACTGTACCACACTTCCGGCCTTCTCGATCGTAGACCACGAAGGCCGGGTTCTCTGAAGGATGCAGCCGACATTTTGGGACACAGCTAATTTTTGGTTTTCTTCCTGAATACTATCGTTGTTTATATTTACTGCAGGAAAAAACGGTAAAAGTGGCGTTTTACGAGGAAAACGCTCGAAAGCACTCTCACACTCAATAGTTTTGTTGTGTGTGTCAGAACAATGAGGCGACTGCTGAGTGTTACAGGTGTTACAGCAGTGACACATCTGCTGCTGTCAGGC